ATAGAATGCATCAGACTTATTTCATCAACTTCCGCTGTAACAAATTAAATAAATCAATTAAATGAAGTGAATAAATTAATAAATATTTAATTAAATGAAAATTAAGTAATAAATAAACAAAATTGTATATACAAATAAGTTTTTTCTCAAGTTATTGTCTCACTCACTCACTCACCCACATATTCACTCACTCAGTTATTCATTCATTCATGTAAATGTGTGAATGTATGAGAAACTACTTAAAAGAACTATCCACACACAGATGCATACGAACAACTGCACGATGTACCATTTATTCTTTAAAAAAATTTCAAATAAAATTTGCTAAATCATAAATTTAAACAAAATTTGAATATTCAACAAACAGAACACAACAACAACACATCGTCTACACCAAAACACACAATCACATCACATCAGGCAACCACACAACAACCACATAACAACACACAATAACACAACAACACATCACTACCCACAATCGCACAACAACACACAATCTACTCAACACAATTATTTGATAAAATATAAAGTATTAGTATGTTTCAATTTGCATTGGAGAAGAAAAATGTTTATCCTTTAATTATTTTAATATTATTATTATTTACTATAATTATTAATTTACTATAATTATAATTATTTCAGTTGAAATAAATATAACATCTCATGTTCTCCAAATAACTGGCAACATCTTCTCGCGTAATCTGTAGTTAAGATCAATTCTAAGTGATGATAAAATTATATGATTGGGGATTTATACAATGCTCACTAATACTGAACCGCTAATCTTTTTAAAAAAAGAAAATTGTAATGTTTACACAAACACACAAACACACAGATATATCTATATACTTTTTCAATTTATGTATATATATATATATATATATATATATATATATATATATAGTTTGTTTGCGCATAAGTGATGTGAAGATGAAGAAGATGACGATGATAAAAAAGATGATGATGAGGGTGAAAAAAAAGATGATGATGAGGGTGAAGAAGATGATGATGAGGGTGAAGAAGATGATGAAGATGATGAAGAAAATGATGAGGATGATGAAGAAGATGATTAAGATGATGAAGAAGAAGATGAAGAGAATGAAGAAGATGATGAAGAAGATGATGAAGATGATGAGGAAGATGATTAAGATGATGAAGAAGATAATGAGATGATGAAAAAGATGAAGAGGAGGATAAAGAAGATGATGAGGAGGATGAAGATGATGAGGAGGAGGATGCATTTAAAGATGAAACAGTACTCCGGCTTAAGTAGTGCTTCAAGAAAATGATGACCGTGATGATGGTGATGATGATCATGAAGATGACGATGATGATGACGATGATCGTGATGAGGGTGGTGATGATGATGATGACCACGATGATGGTGATGATGATGGTGATGATGATGACCTTTCATAGGATTATAATGAAAACTATATCGACAACAATACTAACAGATCAAACGACATGTTCTTTATTTGTTATTAATAAATAAATTTTCGAATGACCAAAGATTTTTTATGGCGTAATTTTGTTTGGATGGTTTTTTTCCTTATTTTGCATTAAAATAAGTTTATTATTTTATTATTATAATTTAGCAAGCACTTTCATAAACAAAGAACGGTTAGTTTTTTAGATCAGGTTTGTAGTATGCTTAACATTCTGCAAAACGCTGTTTAGAAACTTGGTACAACATTATTCCGTTTATTTGTAGATCTGAGATTTGGCTATATTGTGTTATTAATTTCATTATAAAAATCATAACGATACAATCATCTGTTCCTAAACATTCAATTGCAAACATTGTTCCATCATATAATTTGGCATCATTCCATCGGACACGTGAGTCATTTGCACGTTTGAAAGTATAAAAAAATGGTTGAAACAGCATTTACGCCTCATTTTTTCTACTATTAATTCAATGCTGTTGATTTGTTTTGTGCGACCAATCATCGTTGTCATCGTCATCATCATCATCGTCATCATCATGCAGTGAGCCAGCCGCCCAGATTTATTCAGACTGGTTGTGCGATCTATCATCATAACCATCATCGCTATCATCATCTTCTACCTCATCATAATCATTAATACTGTCATCATCTCTATGAATTAGTACCGAGTATTAAATGCGTAGTCAAGTTGGCCTTCGCACTTGAACCCTCCCTTCCAATGAAAAATTTGGCTATGATAAAGTCAAGTTCAACAAAATCGGTCCGCGTATTTCTACAAATTTAGACTAAAAACTCTTTCAGACAGCCCAACATTTTGTAATTTAATTTTTGTTAATTTTTAGGAATTTTTTTAAAAAAACCTCTGTTTTTAACCGCAAAGTTAACAGAAGATGTTTACAAAAAATACATCGTCATCATTACTTTGTTATCATAGGAATGTCACCAACACTACAATGATTCCATCGTCAAATAGTTCCAGCCTTATTAATATTAACACATCATTACGTATATTTTTGCAATAGTGTGATTTGTTTTCTTCCATTTTATTTTTGCCAGCTCTTCTAAGCTTGTTTTAAAAATATTTTCAATTTGTTTTTCTAAGAATATGAAATCAATTGAACGATCATACCAATTTTAGGTTTATATTTAAAGAATTAACGAAAGAGAAAACGGATTTTGAAAGAAAATTTTTTTCAGCTTAACTTTACCACTTTATATCTTCATCATTCTCATCCTCTCAACCTCATCATCTTCATCATCACTTCATATCTTCACCGACATCTCTACAACATGATCTTAATTTTCTTCATTATCTCCATATCTTCATCATCATCATATCATCATCATCATCGTTCCAATATCATCCTCATCGTCATCATCTTCATCGCCGACACGAGTGGACGTGAATCTTTTTTATTTTTTGGGCCATTAAGTTGCGAGTGGGGATGCAAACACATAATGCTCGTTCGTGCGTCGGTTGTTTCAACGACGTCACATGTGGTAATAGTAATGGTCTCCAGACTGTATGTGCAGTGTGTGTGTAGTGTGAGTATGTATGTGTGTGTGTGAGTGTTGTGTGTGTGTGTGTGTTTTTAGTGTGTGTGTGTTTTCAGTGTGTGTGTGTGTGTGTGTGTGCGTTTGCAGTGTGTGTGTGTGTTTGTGTGTGTGTGTTTGCAGTGTGTATACAAACTTTGTGTGTGTGTGTGTATGTGTGTACTTGTGTGTCTAGGCAGTGTGCGATATGGGGCAATGCAATGTATCGCTTGCACGTGTGCCCATAAGCGATCATGCCCGTGATTTGTGCTCATTCTCAAACGATTTGCATGTGATATTTTATCGAGTATTTTTGTGCATAAAACGCACACAAGCACACACGCACGTATAAATTCAAAAAATTGCTGATGGGGAACAATGAGCAGGATGATCGTAACGAAGATTGAGCGTAACGATGGCAACGTAGAACACTAAAGAGAAAAAATTATTAAAGTCATTAAAGTTATTAATTTTGTAGGAGGGCGACGGTCGCAAAAATAAAATCTGCGGCGTAGTGACTGCAATCAAAAGTGGCCCAATAAAATATCGTTCTCTAGGTCAACTTTCCAACAGTTCAAACAGCTGAGGTTAGAGGTCAAGAGTTGCTTTTCTATGGCTTAAATCAATATTCAATAAGGGTCTGAATGTAAAATTAAATTATCAGACTGACTTCTATTGGTGCCTCATATTTTCAGTCTTCCAAAAAATGTCATCATTTAGTTCAGGGGTGGAAAAACTACGGCCCGCGATGCTATTTTTTTTATTTTTCTATGCGGCCCGCGAGGCCTTGTTCGCCAAAAAAGGTCGTCGTCAGCCAAACATTATGGGCAAAAAAAGGAGCCACAAATTCTAAAAATTTTTCCCTGAGTCAAAAAAATTTGCTATTCAAATATATATGCGGCCCTTCAAAGGTAAAATAAATCTCAATACGGCCCTCACAGCAAAAATTTTGCCCACCCCTGATTTAATTAACTGGTTTCTTTTTTTGTGTTTTTTAGTTTTGTCGGTCACCACCAATGTTGGGGTGACAAAGTTCTGTATACTCGTGAATAACTATATCAACCGTGAATAAAAAATTATTTATCATTAAATTATTTGCAATGGATAGCGGTTGAACTTCGAATGTTAATTTTAGCTTCCGGCTTAATTTAAATTTAAAATTTAAATTTAGCTCCGTGTGTAGGCTAGCTCATGATTTTATGTTTAGTTCATAATCGTTGTAGGCAGTTTCTAACTTTATCTCTAATTTGCAGAGCGAATCATTGCGTACCTGACAAAATTCGCTCGATTTAATTTATTATCTGGCAAAACACGAATGCCTGTTGCATTTGTTCGTCAATCTCGCGCCGAATTGAAGCGTTCAGACAACTGAACAGTTAAAGCGTAATTATTTGGAATGAAAAAGTTCCGACGTGACTCACGTTCGGCTTCATATCTCACTTAATTACTTTAATACAAGTTTTCTTGATTTTTGTAGGCACTAAAAAAATTCTGTTGAAATGCATTTGATGAAGATGGTGTTGGTGATGATTTTCACTCTGACGGAAATAATAATGAGAAAACGAAAATAGAAGCTAAATAAAAATGAAGGTGATGATGATGTGATGATGAAATGTGCTCATCCAACCTTCATCAGTTTCCGAAAGAACAACATTTGTTTGTTGCTGCTCTTCACGTAGAACCTCCCCCACCAGCATGGGTGTCGTGGCATGTGCTGATGTTGTTGCTGATGTTGTTGTGGTAATTGTCGTTGACGCTGTTATTATTGTTGTTATGTCATTTTCAAAACTTGTTTTTTTTACCAATATCTTTATAACATTTTTGTTCGGGTCGGTTTTGTTGTCGGCAGTTGTAGCATTGAATGTTGAGAGTGTCGCAGTAGTTGTTGTTGCTGCAGCTGTTGTTGTTGTGGTCATGACCTTACTGATTGTTGGATCATCTCCAGTAATTACGTCATAAGTATCCGGGCGGAGATCCTGGATGTCATCAGCAGCAACATTGCTGGCACATCGGCACAACTCATCATCAACATTTCTACAACAAAGAGGACACGTATGCACATCGTACGCTGCAATGGCGCTTGAGCAATCAATAAGTTTGTTGGTGGCGTTTTGTGCAGGCGACGTTGTTGTTTTTGTTGCCGAGTTCGATATGGTAGGTGCTGAATATGTTTGCTCTGACATCACTGAAGTTAAAGTTGTTGGTGGTGCTGCTTTGACCAATTCTAAGGACGTGGCATCTGTTACTGCTGTACTTGCGTTAGTGAAAGCAACGTTCAAATGTCTCGGTTGGACGCTGGTCAAACAAAAATTAAAATCGTAATTATCCGTTGTTGTCTTCGGATCATTTTTTTCATTCTCGGCATTTTTGCAACTTTCGGCGCTGTCATTCGGTTCATTTTCAGAATCAGGTAGAACATCGTTGTTGATTTCTGACAACGTTCTTTTGACAAAAGGTCGTTGTTTCTGAGTGCCGCCAAGTTTTGATGGCGAAGTGCTCTCCAAAGCGGAAGCTTCCCAATTCGGAAGGTACCATGATGTTTTGAGAGATTTCTGTCGCTTGGGAGTTTGTTGTTGTTGCTGCAATTGTTGTTGTTGCTGTTGAAATTGTTGAAAATGTTGATAGTGATGGTGATGATGGTGAGCAGGCTTTTGTCTGAAGTGGTGCATGTGAGATGGGGGAGGTGTGTTGTGGAGGTCAGTGGTGGATGAGTTGGCACCTGCTGCTGTTGTTGTTGTGGACTTGTTGAGCGCAGTTGAGAGGAATGATGACGAAGATGGGGTGAATGACGCTGATGTAGTTGTTAAAGTAACTGCAGTTTTTGAGTGCTGCAAGGTTTGTGGTTTTGATAATGTGTGCGATTGCTTTTCTTTCAAGTTAATTTTTGATAATGTTGTTTTGAATAATGATGATGCGACGGGCGCCAATGGGTGTGCATTGGCATTATTATTTTCAGATGCTGCTACGCTGGTAGAAACGGCTGTTGACATTGATGTTGTGGATGCTGAAGTTGCAGTTGTTGTTCTTGTTGTTGGCGCTGTTGTTTTTGATGTTGCAATTGTTGGTAATGTTGGCATACTTGTTGTTAGAAATGTTGACGTTTCAATTGTTGCCGACGGTGTCGATGTAAATTGTGATGGTAAATTTGAGACTGCACTTGAAGTTGTAGTTTTTGTTTTTAATGATGTTGTGGTTGTACTTAATGTTGCAGCTGCTGTTGTTGGTTTTGTGGTTGTGCTTAATACTGTTGTTGTTGTTGTTTTTGTTGGTGCTACTGTTGTTGTAGATGTTGTTGTTTTTGCTGCAGCTGTTGTTGTTGTTATAGATGTGATGGTAATTGGGACTGTTGTTGCTGCTGTCGCTACTGCCGTGGCTGCTGTTGAGCAGCTTGTGGTGGAAGTTTTTGGAATCATTGTAAATTTTGAGTTGTTGTTAGATGTTTCAATTATCTAGCTTTATGAATATTTTTCGTCAATAAAAATTGTATTACTTTCAACAAAAATTTGACAAATTTGATGCTTGCAGAAATAAATTTTTCATTTCACCATTCATTATGATGAATATCTTCCTATGGTTAATTTCTATTTAGATATGTTTTTCCAGTGGATGAACTTTCGTTAATAATGAATGCCGTGTGAGGAGCTGCCATCAGCCACATTCGTGCCTGCCTGCGGTGGTGGTCTTCAACATTGTTGTTCAATAACGACAGTGAGATTAATTGTTAAACACGTCAGCACGTACCTGACGGTGCTTCGAAAAGTAAATTAATAAATTTTTCAAACAAATGATCGATTTATTGATCGATCGTACGTTTACTAGTTGAATATTATTTTTTTTCATAGTCATTGAACGTAGCAGTAAATCGATACACCAATCTAAACTTTTGAGGTTATTGCTAGCACATCAACTATTTTTTAATTGATATGAATCAGTTAAATCACATCAAATCAAATCCCTTTGATGAAACGGTGAAAAATTATAAACAAGACGGCTCAAACAGAAGAAAAATCATGACGAGTTCTTTGGTTCAAACGCTGATTCAGTACATGTAAAATAACAACTTTGTGAACATTTCGAGAATAAATTTATTATGATGCGCGTGCATTGGTACATATAACGTGTGTGCTTTCTGTGGAGTTTCAAAACAAAAATTATAAAAATTTGGTTTTCAATTAATTTGAGTAATTAAAACATTGATCGATTAAATCAGTTAATTAATGGATAACATATTGGAACAGACAATAGAAATTTGTCATCATTTCTTCATCACGCCTCTAACAAAACCATCGCGACTCATATAAATAATAATCCCAATGAGTCAATACAATTAATTAGCTCACTGCACTGCACACGGATGTGGCAAGAATTGTTAATCTTCGTTTTGTTGTGTGGGGGTCTTTTCGTTTCAAACATCATTCACACCATTCAAGACAAGAAGAGTAACAACGTTCGCAATCGTTCTTGTGGTCGTCCATTCGCTACGAGAAGCAACGTGTGAGAGTTTGAAGCGAGAAGCAGCGATGGCTGCCGAGCGCTTTCCTCAATTCAATGTTTCTTTATTTTGTTTAAAATAAACTGGATATTATTTATTAACTCATTAAATAATTTTTTATTTTAGTAAAATAAATTCTAACGTTTTATACATTGAATTTATGTAATGGACTTTGGAGTTTGGATTAATTTTTATTTGTATTTGATATTTTATTTTTCATAATCTGTTTTACTGCATGTTGTAACGGACTCTGTGTCAGCCAGAGTTTTATTTTTTAAGGAAAAATTATTTTCCTATCAGCATCAAGGTTATTACAAAAAGTAGAAACTTAAAAAAAGTCAAACTTATCATTATCATCATCCCATCCTTATCAACCTTATTGTCGACATCATAATAACAACCACCACCACGTGATGGCTCAATGGTTAAAGGCGCCTGGTTTTGCTGTTGCAATGACTGGGTTCGAATACAAAAAGATCCCCGCCTATCATATGCAATGTGTATGATGCGTGGTTTGCACGCAAATTCATATACGCTGTGTGTGTTTGTCGTTGAAACCTCTGAAGCAAACGCAAAAGAAAGATATTAACCTTTAACCTTTAATCACCACCATTATCATCATCACCATAACCACCACTACCATCGTCATCATCAGCAGTCAAAGTTAATGGATGCAGATGGGTGTTCGTTTGCTGCTGTTTTAAATTTTAATATTTTAAGAAGGGGCGTGATTGATGTGCCAATGCTGCTGACGGATTTTTCTTTGCTTCGTCAACAAATATGAAATTTTTTTTTTTAAATACGAAAGTAATGTATTCATGTACATTCGAGAACTTTTTGGTGCAATATACAACCATAGATAATTCTGAGTTTCTAAATATAAAACTGCAACAAATAACTGCAATATATAAATATGCATTTGAAGATATCAATTTTTTTAAAATGAATATTATTTAAACATAAAATAGCTAAATTTTAAATGCGTAAATTTTAGTTTGGATTTATAATGCGACAAAAATTAAGGGATTTTTGTCATCTTAGAGTAAATAATTTCAAATAATGACACAAAGCTTCAATGTTTCAACATGAGTGAGACGATATAAATGTTCTCTAGCTGACGTTCAGCTGAGACAACACGAAGCACTCCCTTACATGTGCTTGCTTATTATACTTGAAGTTGAACATTTATGCATTAGGAGTTTTTATGAAACAATCATAAACACTTTATACGTACATTTGTAAGTTAAAAAACGTCTACTGGGAATAAGTAGCGGATCTGGACAAGTTTGATGAGGGGCCAAAATTGGAGTTCAAAAAATATTTTTTAAAAACATGAATTTTTTGGCATGAAAATGAAATTATAATAGTCTCTTTTAAATAACTTACTAAAATTTTATTTTTAATTATTTTTAATAACATTTATTATGTTTCGGCCATCTGGTTGCCGCACTTGAATTTAGGTAAGTAATGCCATCGCCGATACATTTAAGAGGGTCAATACTCGATGCCGATACTTTTGAATTTTAAGTGAGTTTTGATTATATCTTTATTATTAAAGTCGTCGTGATGGCCGTTTGTGTTGAAATTCCATCTCGTCTCGTCTCATTTTGATATAGGCAAAAAAAGAATGATCAAATGTCTTTACCAATAATGTTAATCATTGCTATCTCAATTTGGATATAAAGAGTTGCAATCAAACAAATCCGACTGTGAATCTGTTTTAAACAACTAATAGTATAACCAGAAAAATATTGTAATAAAAAGAGATGTGTTATGGGTTTGTTTGTAGATGTGTAAATGAACTCAGAATCAACTTATAGGGGGCCCATACACCAGTTTTTTCCATCAGGAAGCAATTTCATTCTCGAGGGGCAATTGTGGCTTTATGAGTTTATAGTGAAGGTGTTGTGTTTAAAACAGTGGACAAAAATATGCAAAACGTTGTTCGAAATATAACCAAAATAGATGATTGAGGATTGATCTTTGTGAAAAACGCATACGGGGAGCACACGTTTCAACCAGGTTTGTGGGTGGGGCCCAAAAAAGGTTGGGAAACACGGCCACATATAATATAAGCAACGTAATACTCTATAAAATACAATGTATGCGCAAATGCGTCTGCGTGTGTCTGTCTGTGTTGTGTGTGTTTGTGTGTGTTGTGTGTGTTTTGCATAATTGTATGATTATGTAAATATCCCCTCTAGAAAGCTGTTTTAATATTTACTTATATGCCCTTCATTAGTATGCATGTAAGTATGGTCTCAGAGAATACATTGATTCTACAATGCTATTGTTTCCTAGCCTTGTTCATTTGTAGATTTTTTGTTTTTCATTTGTTTTGTTTGTTTAGTTTATTTGCTTATTTTAATTTTGTCGAGTTATTATGAATGTTTGTGCATTTGTTTGTTTGTAAATTTGTTTGCTTGTTAGTTAGCATGATTATTTGTTTCTTTCTTTCTTTCTTTGGTTTTATGTCAATGTGATACTTTTTCACAGTTAGAGTACCTACTGCTTGTTATCGTTTGCGATAGTTATTTAATCAACCCGGTCGTTTTATAAAGCAACAGCAAATATTTCGTATTGAGGATTTGTTTCACCGAACTAAATTTTAATGACAAATCAATCCGATCGTTTTTGTGCGGATTCACGCATAAATATTTCATACGTGTTACATGATTCTATATATTGATTGAAATGGCATACTGTAAATTAATTTTTAAGTTAATTAGTAAATTAATAATTAATTTAGTAATTAATTTAATTTTTTAATTAACTATTAAATTTCAAAAATTTTTCAAAAAAATTGCTTTATTAAATATCGTCATAAGCAATCAAGCAACATTTTTCAAATCATCGCAGAAACTTTTGAAGTGTCATTGATCGAGCTGAGCAGTTCTGAAAAACTTTAAAATTAATTTCAAAATCGTATCAAAATTAAAGTTATTACTTTTGAATGAAAGAAATATCTTATTTTCAGTTAACATTAATTGTTAACATTAATTTTAGAAAGAGCAAAAAAAATTTTTAAATATTTAAAAATTGGTTTTATTTTAGTTATAAAAAGTGTTCCAAGCAAACTTTAAATACATTTTTCCGAGTATTTTATTTGACATAATTCATGTATTCTTGAGAAATATCACCAAAAAATTGTGTTGTATTTGTTTTCTTTTAGAAAGCCGTCCCAGGCTTAATCATAGATTTAAAAAGATTAATTTATTTCAGATGATTGGACGAACCCAATTTGTGGTGTGCTGGTGTTACACTGAATGTTTATTTGACTCTGCAACTAAGGAAATTTTTTTCAGATTTGACGATCTAACTTTGTAAATTATGTAGCAAATAATTTTTTATTATGAATTTAAAATTAATATCATTAAAAATAGCCGAAGCCTTGATAAAATTATTTTTTTTTAAATTTAGTTCATGTGAAAACGGTTTTAACCAAAAACATTTTTTATGAACAATTTCTTTTAATTAATTTCTTTATTTGTTTTTATTTCAATTAATATTATTCCGTATTCATTCAATATTTTATCATTTGTATGTTCATTTATTTAATTCAATCGTCCACAGCACATTCGGTTT